TTTTTTCAAATCGTGGAAAATACCCATTCATCTAAGCCCCTTTTAATCTATATTCGTACCTTCACACTTTCATATTAAGTTGAAAATTATTACCGCCTTCGTTTCTATGTGAAATTAAATAAATAATAATTGTATCCATGTAAACTTATGTATATAAATGCGACTGTACAGCTTTTGAGAATGAAATCACCGAAAAGATATTTTTGCTGAACTTTTTGTTACTTTCTCCCTAATGTCTAGATGGGTATTTTGCACGATTTGGAAAAATGCAAAGCCAATATGTTTCTGACTTCTTTGTACTGCAGGCACCCCAGCTAAATACATCGAAGAAAAGGACGGAAACCAAAAGAAATCAGTTCAACCTCCACAACATTTACCATTGATCTAGTTCGGCTTGTTTTATTTTAGTTTTAAAAACTGTTACTTGGATTTGTTTCCATGCTTAACCCGTTTATACCTCTGTTCTCTGAAAAACGCAACTATTTTTCTAATCTTATGTAATTTTGCTTCCAAACCTCTTGTGATCTGTATTGACAGCATTGATGATCATGAGGGCTTTGTGTGCTTTTGGAAGTGTGTGGGTGATTGTTACTTTTCGGCCGCCCACATCGTGGAGGTTGATTTATTTTTGGGGTACCTGAAATGGAAATAGAATCAGTGCTGTGAGAACACAGAGGCAAGGGGACAACTGATTGAGGCTGGTCACACACGGCCTGTATGAACTGGCTTTTTGGTTTGGTTACGTATTGGTAACTTACCACCGGCTACGGACCACCGTAGGTAAGTCGTGATGTACAATTTTCGGGTCGACCTTTTCTGATCCCCTCTCTCCACAGGGGAGAGACAGCATGGCTGGCATGCTGGTCATCTGAGGGAAACACCTTACTGCTGTTAAATCCCCGTTCCCCAGCAGTACGACTTCGCCCACAGACACGCAACATAGTGTAAAAAATAAATTCCTACAATATGCCGGTAACCGCATTTAGTCTAACCGCTATCATAACAGTCTTCTTGTCATGAAAGGACGTGCAGGAAGATTAGTGCTAGCCAGTGTAGCTTGTTGAGTCATTGCGACATGCAAGCCCGACTACCACGTCAAGGTAGCAGCTATCGGTCGGATCTATACTGATAACTTCAAACATTCATATCACGTTGAAAATCCCTATCGTCCCTAATCTCCCCCTGCATTATTATGTGGAACTACACAATACTGATTGTATCTATGTACACTTATGTGTATAGGTGTGATTGTACAGCTGCTTTTGAGAATGAAATCGCCGAAAAGATCGACATCTTTGCTGAACTACACAGACGCAAATCAAATTCCCAATTTGTAATTTATGTAATTCGAGAAGGTGAAATTCCTCCACAGTTTGCTTCAGGAAATAAAATTCAGATCTTAATATGTGATGTGCTTGATATAATCATATAAATGGTGATCAAAAAGGGAAGCATAAATGCGTTAGACTAAATACTACTCATTGATTGAGATCAGTAGTTGTATACCACTCAGACAAGTCTCTATTGAAAATGGATAACCTACAAGATTTATCCAGCGAAGTCAATTAAGTATGAAGAGAAGCTTAGGAGAATCCAAACACTAGGAGAAAGGAATTACTGTTTATGAATGTTGGATTTATTATGATGAATTATTTTCTACAACATCACAACTTGAAACATTTTTCAATCGATTTGTCAAAAAAAGAGAAAATACGCGTAGGTTGTAAGAAGATGCTAGATAGATTATAAGTGATAACTAGAGAAGGCTATCGAAAAAATTAAAAAAAAACGGATTTATACTGATACCTGATATGAAGAAAACACACGCAAAAAGATGGTATCGATTGAAAGGACGCCTGTACTGCACAACAACACAAGTTGGCTCTCTCTTTCTCTTTCTTCATTTATGGTTATGCGATATGGTCATCATTGAAAGTGGAAGATATGCGAAAAGCCTGGCTAACTTTCTTTGATCACAGGTGTTTACGTTCTATATCTCGTATTTTAACCGGTATAGGAAGGTGAGTAATATTATGGTAAGGAGAGGAGTGTTAGAAGTAAGGAGGAGGCAAAGTCCATTGAAGACAACGTGAAACTAAATCGATTGAGATAGTTAGGATATTTGTTGCACATGCCGAGCTACCGATTTCCTCGACCTGCAATGTTACCTGACACAACATTAGGTTGAAAATACGTTAAGGGTAGTCAAAAAAAACATGGTATGAGCCCATAGAATCGTTGACAGTCAGTTTGAGCTAGTCACGTAGGGAAGTATAGACTGCGTGGCTGGTTGGAGTCCTTAGGATTCCAATAACCAATGGCTGCAAACAATTGATGATTTTAACTGATTAAAAATACCCATTAAAATTTTCAAAATGTATACTGAACAAAGAATACTCTTTTCGATAGCTTATTCATCAGGCTCTACAGTTATATATACATTATTGTGAATGAATGATGATTTGGCTCAAAATCGTTGTCAGTGGCGCAGATACGTTCACTCTTTGTGTAATCTCTGAGACCTATTTTATCGTCATTATTTGTATGATAGATGAACAGTTTTAAGAACTTGAATTGATAAACTTCTAGGAAAAGTTCTATGGTGAGAATTTAGTCAATTAGTTCGGAGGATACTTGAAGTTACCTAATTACACAAGTTGATTACTTAGTTAACTGACTGATTTCAACCTAGGACTTCGCGCAAAAGTGCAGCAGTTCAACTTGCCACACTGTATGTACCAAACAAAGACAGAAAAAAGAGAGAAAATAAGATTTGAAAGAATGACAATGAGCAGAAATGTGAGGGAGGAATAGTAACATGGAAAAACAATAGGGCTTTAATGGATGTGACAGATCACGGAAAGTGAATGCATCTCCACCACTGAGAACGATTTGGAACCTACTGTACCAGGACATTCGCTTTTAGATTCTTGATAACCCTAACCAGGAAGCCCATATCTCCCTAAATGATTGGCTTAAACTAACTGGCAAGGATTTCATGGACTGATTCCCCTTTCAATGGTCATATCTTACAGGCGTAAAGGGAGGGTGGAGCAAACTGCTTCTGAGCAGTATACACGTCCTTTGATCGACAGTCAATAGGATATCAGGTCCCAAACACTATTACTTAGCTACATGAATATATCCAGCCCTCACCTATTAAGTTTACGCCTTTTTTCGTTCCTTCACGTTCCCAATGGAACATAGGGCTTCAAGCTAGAGGTTTGAAGTTTCTGTAGCAGTGTTTATTTTTACAGAATAGTGTTGCTAGCCTCATGCCCAACCTTTCCTCTTTACCAGCTTTATTACTGGCTTAGCAAAGGAGTGCGTGGTCGGCGAGCATTCTACCACTGTGCCACTGACGCACGAGTTTACGCTTAGAACATAACAATATTCAGTGTGACTTCGTCCCAACATTTAGCTCACACACTTTAACATTGATGCTTAGTAAGTGGATCTTATGGAGTTGGAATTCCGTCACACTTCGGCTCTGTCGATTAGATATCATCATTATTTCTTATCACACAACTAATGTGACTTGTAAATCCATACCATACAAACATTTGTTCCGTTTTCTTTTTGAGATACAATTGACTTTACATCATAATTCATTTCTAAATGCACTGAATATACCAACATACGCTAAGCTATTACCTTCATTTCCGAGTAATGGGAACTGACAAAGGATTAGGTTGGAAAAGACTTGGGTAAATGGGTGGTCAAATTAGAGCCTGGCATCAGTCCATCACTTTTTTGAATGTTGGTTTTAGTCAGCCATATAAGAAGAAGTAAACGTTAAGAGACACTATCTTGAGATTACAGGTGATACGACTCGAAGCCATGTTCAACTACCCAGATGTATCCACTCATTATATTCTCTTTGACCTAATGAACCCTGATGTTTTTTTTTTACGTTAGTATTCTTTTTCCCGTGCACTTCTGCTTATTAAAGTTCTTTTTTCCATTTTCAATGTGGAATTAGAATACAAAAAGTGCACCAGTTTAAGTTTCCATACTCCGTGTAGCAAACAAAGGTAAACAGTAGAAAAAATACATTGAAAAGAACTATAATGGGCAGGTGTATGTAAAAACATGGGGATTTTATGGATGTAGGAGACCGCAAAAAGTGAAAACGTCAGAATGATACTGAGCCATATTACACCAAAAGTCCCCAGTCAACGGTTCTTAGCACCACAGGGACTCCAGACAACGAGGCGATCTACGCCTCCCATTATGATTGGTTCGCCATTCATTGCGCGGATATCAAATGCCTGAATGTTGGTAGTTTAAGAAAACAAAACAATTCTGACTACTGCAAAACAGCCATGTTAACTTAGAGAGATCAAAAAAGACGAAGGGTAGTGCAAATCTGAGTTGGTCAAAAGCAGACCGTGATCTGTAGACGGTAATGAATAATGTTTAAAAACAATACCAATTGTACAACTAAACGACTGCCCAATTAACTCATGGATAAACTGAATCTTAACATGAATGAAAACAATGCAGTCTTTATTTAGGGAAGAAATAACCAAACGCGTATCTGAGAGTGACAGTAACAGTTATTCTGAGGATGCGTAGTCTCATATCCAGTCAGCTGTAGAAACAGTATTGAGGACTGTTGATAACCTCAAATCAAAGGTTAGGAAATACCATTCAGTTCATTCGAAATGATTCCCACAGGCAGCACATATGATGGTGATCAGCGAAAGCCACTCAAATACAAGCTAACTAAAAGTTCATTGTGGTAGAGGACAAAAACCAAAGAGAAAGAGAAGGCATCAGCAACTATTTCGACTACTTAAGCAAACGAGTTGAAAAAACAACAATGGTAAGCGAAACAGTCTCCTATTGGAACAGTGCTTTAATTACCACCCAGTTAAGAGGACTGGAATAATCAATCAATTAGTAAAACATCGCATACATTATAGTCAGATACCAACTAATCAAATTCAGACTAAAGTATTATTATTATCGCCATTGCTGTAAGCAAAGTTACTTACCGTCGCATCAATTTCACGCATTTCTTCTTCAGATAATTCATACATAGATTCATCAACGGATGATGCCCCAATATGATTAGTATCCGTATTCTCTTTCAGCACATTAATATTATTATTATCACAATTATTCAACGTCGACACTTTAGTGGTACACACATCCCCATTTTGTATATTATGTGTTAAGTTAATCTGTCCATTTGAATTAGTTAAAGAAATAGTAGTAGTAGTGGTACCATTCGTAAGAACTTCTGGGATTGAATTCATCACAAGCATCGGTTGACTAACAGCAGTATCTATCACATAGTTAATAACTTTATTATTATTATTTACGAAATCAGGAAGATTAGATGAAGTTAACTTAGAATGATTCAAATGATTACCAATATTATTACTATCAGTGTCATTTGTTGAATGAATTTTAGTCGGAGATTCACAATCATAGAAAGATACAGACGATTGGATGGGTGTTAGATAAGCATCAGATTGTTGAGTAATCCAAGATAAACCATTTGTAATAGGAAGATTAGAATATACAGTATACTGATACTGTTGTGGATCTGACGTTATACGACAATAATTTGACGACAACTGAGCAGGCGATGATTTCATTGAAGACAGAGAAAGAATATTGTTAGCTAATTGATGAGTAGTTGATGTATTTGCACCATTATTATATGAATTAACTTGATTTAATATTCCATTATCATTGCATAGATCATAGGCGACAGCCAGGGCTGTACCTAAGCCTAAACTGCCAACATGTACTTCTGAGTTCTCATTTACAGTGACAGATTCTAAACAACTAGAAGGTTGTCGGGATGTATCAGTAGCCTAAAAAGGAGCAAATCAAAGATAAAATCGAAAATGCGTTTTTGAAAAAAGAGAAATTTATCAGCTCCTGTAGAGCCAGCTAGTTATACTGGGTGTAGACTTTAGGCATATTTATCATTTAATTCCTGAAAATCATTCTGCAGATAGTGAAGCACCGGATAAAAATTAAAGTCCTCCATTTTACTTCTCGCCGGTTTGAAATACTGAATATTGAGTTGATGGGATGATACGGTAATTAAAGTTATCTATCGTATTTTGAAGGTTAATCTTGATTAAGCTTTATAAAAGGTTGACTAAATCAGTCGGAATAGACCTGAAAAAGGAACCTAAGTTATATGTTCAGCAGTTCGCTGTGGTGATTTCAATGCCTTGGCTATCATTATTTGATTGTCAGAAGCTGACAATTTCTCCTTTTCCCCTTATATTCTATCGTTGTTTTGACTGTCTTTAATTCCTGTGTGAAGTTTCCCCTCCATTTGAACTAATAATCTATCAATAGAAGATACTTCTGTACAGATTATGACACATGTTTCTCTAAACTGTAATTCCATCGAGATACTTAACAAAGCGGTGTTATTCAACAGAAATAGACACAGTAATGTTGCTAATAACAAAATACTCTTGAAATGTTATTATATATATATATATATATATATATATATATATAATACTTCTACTGTCAACAATTTAGAATATAATTCTGAATAGACAAAAATGAATGAACCAAAAAAAAAAGAACTATATATATGAGTACAAATCATACATGTATGGATTAAAAAACAAAATAATTCCAACAATTGGTATGATCACGGGCAGTAATTTTGCTCGAATTATTACCAGAAACAAAAACTTATCATGAAGTGTAAACCATTGAAATATAATGATAATTTATTTGATCTGTTCTTCAATGCTTGAACTTTTTACTGATATTAATATACATATGTAGTAGTCAGGTGAAGTTCTCGAAAGGAATATTATACACTGAGTCGTTTTTTCATCATCATTTGCATGTCTAAACAGCGAATTCAGCCCAAATAATATCCTTGAAGGAAAAGAACATATATCCGAGACTGTTCAAATTTATTGGTTACCAATGATTTTACTTTATATTGTGAATCACTCAAAGAAGAGGAGTTTAAGGTGAAAGAAAATAAAAAGACACTTAAAATTATGTCTAAGCTTTAAGCTACTTCACTTTAATTTTAGAATAAAAATCACTTCAAACACACGTAAGCGCAATGGTATATTGGTTATGTGTGACGAAATCAGCGGAAATATGCGGTCTCAACAGACAGATCTGATATTTCTATTGGCTATTCATTGAAATCCCTACAATCAGTTTTACAGCTGATTGAATCTTATGGTAACCATAGTACATACACGGAAATTACGACGAAGTTCAAATATAGAACAAAAAATCAAGGTAATATGAAATAGGTCTTGTATAAATCGGACTTACTAATACAATATTAGCTGTTCCAAAATGACTTATCGGGATAGACATTGTAAGCTAAACATAGCGCACACTTTTAAAATGCCGCCGTTTCGTCCCATTGAAAATTAAAAATCACTGAGTCTGAGTATCATTAACAATTAGTCGAATTTGAATAGACTTATATAATAAAAAAATGTAGTCAGTATTGTTTTATTCACCAGCTATAGCGCCACCTTCAACAGTTTTCGTTGGTGCGTCATATTCCTACACTAACGAATGAAGATTTAGATGATCTGTCTTTTGAGGTCGATTTATTTATGTTAATTCGGAATGTAGCTGTAATTCTACCTAACTAATTTACTGTATAACCATGATGGATTATGTTAAATCAAGTGGATGCTATCAACCATTAACACCTGACCATGCTTCAATATCATCACTTGCTGAAGAAGTAGCTTTTGCTGACATTACTAAAGTTAGCCATGAAGATTTTGCAGTAAGCCACGGTATACATTTCGTGACTTTTGTTTCAGAAACAAATTACTCTCATAGAACTTTCGTTCTTCAAAGCTATACGCCGTGAGGTATTTTGCTCCTGGCTTTTTTGTATTATTATTATTTCTCAGGAATTTGCAAGTCTGAAATGGAATGGTAGAGAAAAGCATTTGTATGCCCCAAATATTGTTGCATCCACGAGATGGTTTAATCAGGTAAATCGTGGATAACTTTCTTTTTTAATCATCTGTTTAGATTAATTTCTGGGTTCAAAAAGAAATTTTAAAGTATTCATGTGTGTCAAAGAGGACTGAAATGTTATCATTTTTTATTAAAATTTCTAAAGTAAGTTGAATAATGTCAGGCCTACGCATTAAATTATTTCAGTGTGCATAATTTGTGTGATAAGCACACCGAATCATATATATATATATATATATATATATATATATATATATAAGGTTCATATATTTTGACCTATATTTCCGGTTAGTAACAGAAGGTTTAAGGCCTATGCCAATGCTTTTTAATTGAGTGTCTGTGTTTGCCTAATCCCTTTCTGAAGGAGTCGACTGAGGCACATTCATTACTTATTCTCGGAGTCGGTTCCAATAGTTTCCTCTTTGACTTTTGTATTCTCTGGTGTGAAAAACAGATAGATTGGGTTGATATGCATCTAGAATTTTGAACTTTATTATTAGATCTATCTGTCTGCGATATGATAATGGTAAAAGATTGGAACTGAAATCTTTTCTCATATAAATTATTCATACCAGGGATCATACTTCTGACGTTCCTGTGAACCTGCGCAAGAATGTATGAGTCTTTCTGAAGGTAAGGAGTGGATGCAGTCACCAGGGATGTATATAAAGTGAGCATTCCACTAGCTATTCTAATAAAAGTCTTGCATACATTTTCGATAATGATCCAAACCTGCGAGCTATCAACGCTCTGCATATCCTTTAACATCTTAGGGTCCCCATCAAGACTTACCTACTCAAACTCATATTATGAGTAATAGATTTCATAAATTTCGTGTTTTGTTCTATATTGCTAGTTTGAAGTGTATTGGCGTAACCATACTTCATCGCTCATGTAGCAGAATTAAGGTTTGATATGTGTAACACATGTCAAGTCTATTTCAGTCGTATGTCTGCGATTATCCTAGATCCATTGTGATTGTGAATTTGAAGGGAATGCTTTGTTGTACATTGACACATGGCTATTTTGCTTTTGAATAATTCGATGTAGTTATGAGTCGCCCAGCTAAAGATAGAGATTAGGAACTCACAATTTAAACTTATTTCCTACCTACCTGTGGTTCTGTTATCGTAGACATTCACCTTCTTTATAATAGTGAAAGTTTAACATATGGGTGCCTGACGTTGAATATATCTCACAGCACAGAGGTGATATTTGACTTCGTCGGTTGAAAAAAAGTGTCAGTTATTCACTTTAAATGGCATTTGGTTGCTCTAAAGTACAAGACGGCCTATTTCATGTTTAGTGTACATCAAGGATACCCCTTCGCTTTCATCTAACAGTGTATATGCATATTTGCAAACTTAGATGTTTTGCATGATCCTCAATTTTTGTGGAATTTTCATAATTTCAGCTGATATTCTAGCTGCTATTATATCATTATTATTATAATTTAAGCATCTTTAATGAACTAATTCTGTTGATCCTATTTAACGAATCGATATTATTGAATAAGACCAAATTGTTATTGACTACTATTCTAGAATACTCTTTGTATATATATATATATATATATATAATTGTAGAGGCAGAAGAGGAATTTATCAAAAACGGCATTCTTTGCTCAATTATTTTGTGTTTTATAAATTATATTAAGTTCAGGGTTCTAAGGATCTCGACAAGTGGATACATCTTTGTCGCTAGAAGTAGTGACTTTGAATCTTTTACAGTAACAATGTACACTAACAAATGGTCAGTGATTCCATAAGTCGTGTTGGTTCACCCAGGAAAGATTTATCATATGTTGGGCCAAGAGCCACTTCTGTGTAGGCTGCTTATACAACCTTATTATATTATAGTTCTTTTGGATGTCATTGTACTCTCCTTTGTATACCTTTGTGTACTTCATGGTGTGGCAACTTGAACTGAAGCATCTCTGAGCAAAGTCGTATGTCGAAACTTAGTCAGTCAGACCACCCAGTCGCCCAGGCTGAAATAGTTGAGACGTGACTCGACTATGTGGCTTGTTGGTTAGAAGCCAATGGCATATGAAATGGCGCTGTGTCTTGACCTGACTAACATTGCCTCTTTTCCTACCCAACCCCTAACATAACATTCTTTTCTCTTTAACCCACGTAGGCTACAGTTTATCAGTATTTTATCACTATTTTTAAGATAGCCGTTATATAAAACCAGACTTCTTTAAACTAATTATTGCTGTTATACTCACTCAAGTGTATGAACCATTTTATGTTAGATGAAGGAATGGTGTGTCATTCATTAAACTGAGAACCTTAGGGTTCTACGGCGTCTGGCATTTTCGCGTTCATTGAGTCGAAGACATCCATGTACCAGCTAACCAATATCTTATAGCGAAGTGATCTCCCTCTATGTCTATAACTAAGGCTGATATCAAAGGTCTATGAAAAGCATTGTCTTTTTACGTGTATTAAAGTTATTAGTGAACAGGAACCTTAAATGCCTGAGTTGACTTTTAAATGTTTCATGCCTACCTTCTGGCCATCCATCTCAATGAGTTACTTCAGGGGTAGTCAGATTGAGTTGTAGTAAAGTCAAGGGTTATTATGTCTTATTTTTGCAATCCACGAAGTCCTTGTCTGTGTGTCATCAGAGCTATAAACGAAAGCTTAGGCTGAATTCTACATTACTACTACTACTATATAAAGTCTTTAAGGTTTAAAGTCTGAGTATCAGTATTTTTCTTACAGGGTGCGGTCGCTAGCCTCACTTTCAGCCTCCCCTCTTTTCCCGACTCACTAACGGCCAGTAAACTAGGCGATGCTGAAGTGTCAACTAGGAATCGAACCCGAACTACGTTTTTGGGTGGAGAACCACCGATGCATACGAAGCAGAATACAAATCTTACTGTGACTGAACAGCTCTCGCGCATAAACGACCTGATAAAACCGAGGGGGCTCGGACTTTGGTCTTCCTCCCGAAGTTCTATCATGTAATAACACGTTTATAGCCTCTGTGCCGTCAGGTAAACTGTCTTATTCACTCCACGCGGTGAAGAGAGGTATTTCTCACTAAAGTGAATGGGTGGATGCGAACTTTGTCTGGTACTTATAACCATACTGGTTGACATGCATTCTACCCAAGCAACGCTGCAAGAATCCTGTTTCTAAACCTAAAGTATGTGTATGCATGTTAGAATCCGAAAGGAACGCATGGTATTTGAACCTATCTGTGGTCGCTGGCAACCATAGGAATGTAGCAGATCTTGACTATGCTCCACTGTCTTGCGAACCAAACTTCAAGTTAGAGGCTCGGGGCGGGAGTGGTCCTCTAAGACAATCACTTGCTTCAGTCTGGGCGTCCGGGTAGTAGGAATTCCAGCCCTTGTGTATCTTGGTGCCCATTGTGTACCAGGTTTGTAAAGAACATTCATAAATGGTGATTATTATTAAAGCGGTCTTCGCATACCTTATAAACACTTTTCTGATTATTTTCTAAAATCATTTTTCAGAAACTTGTTGAATACAATAATCTTTATTCTGCTATGTCAATCATATCAGCATTACAAGTCGAGTGTATATATCGTCTACGGCATACATGGTCAGGTTTAGGAAATAAAGATCGAACGGCATATAGACGTTTAGAAGAACTTTTTAGTCAAGATGATAACTGTCGTAGACAAAGGGAACATATGAATTCAATCGACCTGCCGGGTATTCCGTATCTGGGTAAGGTTTTTCTACAATCTTTTTTCGTGTGAATTTTTATTCTGCAGTGAACTCATTACTTACTTTACTTTACTTCGGCTATCTCCTACGGGAGGATGAGCCGGCTTCATGAACATCTCGAATCATCGCTGCCCAGTAGCATGCCGTAGCATAGTGAGAGTCGTTTGTAAGAGAGTTCATGAAGTTTCATGGGAATTTGGTACGAGTGATGTCCCCAGAATCGCTTGGCCTTTTGTTTGAGAGTGCAGCTCTAGCCTTTACACAACCAAGTGTGAACTACAAGGCAGTAGGAGTGGAGTAGGGAGTCCACTATCCATTGGCAGCCGGTGACCGAAGTTCGGTTCATACGCCTTTTTGAATGGGGCCAGACATCCAGGACATCCAACAAGCCCTTTGTCCATACGTTTGCCGGTGAGCTCCAGTGAGCTACATACGCCAGTCGTTGGAGGTTTGGAATCAGGGTTTAGCCATCTCCCCTAGACTGTCATCCAATGGACAGTCAACCCGGTGAAGAGCGCCGGGCATCCGCTTTCGCCCTCTCACTTTGGTGAAAAACACCTCCGCCACGTGAAGGCAGTGAGTAGGACTTCCTCAGGAGAGGCTATGTAAGACGCCCGGTCATATGGGAGCATTTCAAGAGGTGTGTGGAGGGGTGGCCAACCCGCAGCGCAAGGCACCCACCCCCGACCATCCTGAGGCTTTGGAGGCAGTGAACTCATTGGCTATTGTGAAACCTGATTTTTCGTAACTTGTGGGATCCACTAAGTTAGTCATTGGATGGGTGGACAAATAGTCATCGTTGACATTATCTTTCAGTGGCATCGTAAATTAACAGAAGTTAGAAATCATGAACTGGCCGTGGGATTTGGTAGTCCGATTTGATGAAATGGAATCTCAACCTTCAGACCAACAATGAATTGCGCAAATTTGATGCTGAATAATGTTCTTATGCGTACTAACATTCCATACGACTATTATTATTCCCTTGGATCCTGGCTCGAACATAGGTCTTCAACAGCACATCTCTATTTCATCTTGTTCTCAGGAGTCCTCACTTTCTTATTCAGTTTGGTGTAGACTGAACTCATTTCCTCCCTTCGTTATTCATCAATGCACTGGCTCATCTGTCGTTTCACCATCCCTTTCTTCTTTTCTGGCTTCCAGGTGTCCGTTAGAGGCTCATTGCTTGTCTTGCTCCTCCTTCCCCAATATCATTTTCACAGAGTTCCAGTGTTTTTCCACACAGGTTTCCTCGGTGACTCTACATAATGTCTCCGACCTCACTCTGATGACTGCAATAATGGTGTCCTTTATAGTTTCGTTGTTCAGTTTTTTTCTGTTGAACTTGAAGTGTAGTCTATCTGCAGTCGCTTCAAAGGCTTTCAACTTGACCTTGAACATTCCTTGCACTAGATAATGACCTGAGACCATATCTGCTCTTTTTCTCAATTTTGTGTCCAGCGGACTGCATTTTATTTTCTTCAGATTATAATGAAGTATAACTGATTTTTGGTGTGTTCATGTGGTGAAACTCAAGTCGCCATATGCCTCTTCACACTACCTCCAATCACCAAATAATTGAAGCGTCGAAACTTTGCAAATGCTCCTCTCTTTTTCGTTTTGCCGAGAATCCCTCGAATAATGATGAGTTCTCCTCCTGTGTTGACTTCTCCCACTTTGACTTGCATTTCATATCACCTATTGGGATTTCGATGTCACCTTTCGTTCACTACTGTTTGCAGTTGTCTGCTGCATTGTTTGTAGGAGGGTGGTATTTGATGATTGTAACCTCCCTGCCTTTTGAAGTGATTCTTACTGTGGTTATCATGGAGAACATTTGTTCCCATTACATAAGACCTTTTGCCGCTGTTTCTAAAATCATGATAGTCACTTCCTTATTGTTCTCATGGTTGTTGTCTGTATAAGGAGGGTAGGTGATTATTGACTGTCCAACTAAGAATTTCGAGAGTCCAAATCCGTAACACCTGCTGTCACAGTTTCTTCGCATTTCTATACTTTATCTTTTTCAATGTGAGCCTAATGCCGGTAAGTAAACCAGGCATTATTAATACATCCTGTACTATTGAGACAAAGGTTCATTGATCCAGTCTCTGTGGATTACCAACCATCGAATAGTCTCAGGTTCGAAGGCGACTGTTCCACCTACCGTGGTTTGAACAGCCTACGTGCGTAGTAGTAGTTGTTCTGGTAGTATCATTGTTTCTCACACAATAAGTGTGTGGCATTTTACCAAATGTAACAATAACAGAAATATTTGTCTAAATCACTATAACATCGGCTAGAGAACCATGGAAATCCGCCAGGGAGTACTGGACAGCTGTTTCGTCCTACTTGGGGACTCATCGCCAACAGACCAGTCAGTGTCACCGGTAGAGTGTATGATATTGTCTAGTGCCAGTCGCGCTCAAATCACGAGTTTGTAGGAGTTATAATTCATCGTTGACCATTGAGTCGGGATCCAGTGGCCAAATCTTCTTTGTCGTTGCCTTGTCATCGGAAGATCTTGTGTTCGAACCCTGGTAGTAGGTGCGGATTGCTGTTGAGTCCCAAACAAAACAGTTGTTCTGTACCCCTCGGTTCCCAGTGGTTCTCTAAATGATATCAATGCGTGATCAAATCCCTACAAACAAACTATTGAGAATTATAATATCATTCTTTATGTCTTCATTAAGTTAATTTCTGTTGAACTGTTTCTATAAACAGTTTTTTTTCTGTTTGACTTTTCTTTAAGGCCTGTATTTATCTGATTTAACGTATACAAATGTCGCTCAACCACGAATCAATGGAAAGCCAACAGCAATATGGTATACAAAAATTAATGCGATTATTGATACAATCGCGTACTTCCAACAATCTGAATACTGTGAGTGCACAATTGAAGAGTTAGTCTTTTCTTGTTATTTAAGTTGTGAGTTTTACTGAAGCTTTCACTCAATGTGCTATTGACAATTAAGAAGCACTGAATAGTATTTTTCTTTCCAACTTGTGACCTCTTCAGCAGTGTGCACATACAAAGCTGCACCAGGGCTAGTGGATCGACTGTTGGGGGGATCCGTGTGTGACTGATTGGTTCACCATAGAACTGTGCACGGAAGTGCAGTAGCACTTCAACTTGCCACAAATCATGTACCGTGCCACACAAAGGGAGACAAAAGAGAAGAAAAAAGGGATTGACAAGCACGATAATAGGCATAAATTTGAGGGAGAAAGGATAGTGACATGGAGAAACAATAGGGTTTTAATGGACATGGCTGCTCACAAAGTGTGAATTCATCTGAGTTATGAATGAGAAGGAGGATTTCGAGCCATATGACCACCCACCAGTCGTCATTGGATCTTCGAATCTCGAGGACTGCAACCAGTCAGGCAGTCTACACATCCCTACGTGGCTGGCTGACTGGCTGAAACCAACTGTCGGATATTTGATTGACTGATACCGGCCAAGTTTTGGTCTGACCATCATCATCACTAGTGCTTTTCCAAGCTGATCGTATCTATGTCAGCTAACATTGCTTGTCGAGGAAGGCGATAGCTAGGCTGCTGCTAGATTCAACATAGAACTTGACACCGAAGTGCAGCAGTTCGAGTTGCCACGTTTCAAATAGCTCACAAAGGTAGACAAGAAATTTGAGTGAAGAGAATCAATAGAGTTTTGACAAGTATAAGAGTGAAACAGAATGAGTAATAGTAGAAGGAATATGAAAGATTACACAAGAGACTGAATACATCTGCGCCATTGACAACGATTTTGAGCCATGTCACCTAGTGTCTCCAGCCATTGATTCTTAGAGTCCCGAGGGCCCCAACCCGGAAGTCTGCATCTCCCTACCTGACTCCGTTTAACTGTCAGGGATTTCATGGATTGATGCCATGTTTTTGTTTGGCCACCACTTACCCTTTTCCAACCTGCACCTATATCAGCTAGTAGTGCCCGTCGGTTGAGGCGATGGCTAGGCATGCGTAGCACGTGACTTTATAGCCTCTTCGATTGATTTTCCCTCTCTGCCCAACACTCTACGCCTAACGTCAACATTACTTACCTTATTATACCACCTAACGCGAGAAAGAGATCGTAAACATCTGTGGTCAAAAACAGACAATCTCTTCATATCTTCCGCTCTCAATGGCCACGTCTCACTACCATAGAGAAGGACGGAGCGAACTGCTGAGCAGTACACACGTCCCTTGGTTGATAGCCGGATGTCACGCCTACTCCAGAGACGGTGTATGTTAGCGTAAGCAGCCCGAGCTTTCTGGATCCGTGCTGAGATTTCGTCACCAATCAATCCGTTGGTGCTGATACAACTTCCCAAATAGGTGAAGTGGTCAACATGTTCTATCACTTCACTCCCTATCACTAAGCTAGGAGTTGACGTAGTCCAGTCCTGTAGCAGCATCTACAGGTATGCATAGCACATGTCCTAGGCATCATCTCAATATTATTCAGCCTATTATACCAGCTGAAATGGGAGATAGAATGCAGACACACGTATGATGAAAGACAGCTAGCCAGCTTTTTCATGTCTTCCACATTCAATGGCCGTGTGTTACTCACTGCCATAAAGGAGGACGAAGCAAACTGGTGCGCAGTCCACAAGTAAGTTGTCAAATTTCACACGAAGTCTTTATATTCGTGCAGATATCTTCTCAGCGACCCGTCTGTTGATGGTTAATACTACTTGAAAAGAAAATGAAGTGGTCAACTTGCTCAACCGCACCTCTTCCCATCTCTAGAGTACCAGTCGATGCAGTCCAGCCCTGCAGCATCTTCTTACATCTTACAGGGAAAAATCGCATGTCAAACATCAGAAAATTTCTGCCTAAGGTTTTCGGGAGACACTGAATTGTTTTGGCGTTTTCACATCGGAAGACCGTATCATTTACACATGCGAAGTCAATAAGACTAATCCCTGGCAACAGTTCAGTCTATAAGTCACTGAAGTCAGGGTTTTATTCCATTAGTTCCTTGACGATGAAATTGAACAAAATGAGTGACAGTGGGCATCCTTCACTGAAATCACTACTTGTCTTCGCTTCAGATGACAACTTTCCATAAGCTATTCCTTGGCTGCATGAGTCCGAGTAGAGTGCCTTGATCACTGCGTTGTTCTTCCTTGGCACTCCCTTCATTGCCAGACAATGTGGTAGTACCTCAGCCGATGGAGTGGGATCACGTCTTGTGGTCAAGAAGTGTGTCAGTTGTCACCCTCGGATCGACGCTAAACTTGTCTTTTCCTATTCAGGTTCCGCTCGAGTGATGGCCTAGCGTGCGATGTCACCTAACGGTCTCCTCAGTTTAATGTGTATGTATCGTAACATTGAAGCTTCACTTGACATCCGATTTAATGCTTGTTTTTCTCTTTCCAATTAAAGCTTTCCCTGTGGACGAAACTCTGAATGCTTATCTCTGTGCACAACGGTATATTGAGGAATTACAAAAATTCCTTGAAGAGGATAATTATAAAACATCGCTTTTATTAGAACCACCGCCTACTCCTCCTCCTGCCGCACCAACCACTCCATCTTTAGCCTATTTACATCAACCCTATACATCGCTATCAAGTAGTACCATTACTAATAATAATAATTCGGAATTGACTGACAATCGTTTTCCTGATGATAATGCGGCGGTAGTAAAAGGAACAACCTTCGGTGGTATTGGTGGGGGTAGTAGTAGTATCAGTAGTGGATTTGGTTTTCGATCTCCGTCATCAAAATTGTCAAATTTATGTCATACTATGAAACAACAACACTCACATCATCACCATCATCATGTGCATCAGCATCCAGGTCATAGTCGGACAGGATCAAATGTCTCCTGTAAGGGCGGTGGAGCAACGGTGAATTCAAGTTTTGAATCTGATCTTCTATTGATGGTACTGCCACCGACACCGCCTTCTGCCTCTTCTTCTTTCAAGCATATTACAGAGTCAGGCAATGATAATGATACTGACGGCGGTAAGATGATGAAAAAATCTGTACAAGCGGTGAATAAATCATTTGAGTGCAAAAATGAATTGAAGTCAATGAGGAAAATCTCATGGGATGAAAATGTTGAATGTGTTTCTCCTACTGCCGGTGAGATATGTAAACCAGTGACGACAAGTAAAGATCATCCTGACAATGTGAGTTTTGCTCGTTTGTTTCCTGTCTCTGTGTGTTTGTGTGTTTGCAAACATTGTCTTTGTTACATTTCTGTACGTACATATTAATTTATTCCTAACCTACATCAAACCAGCTCTAATATTTTGATGTGGTTGTGTTCTCTGAGCTGGATAGTTAATTTGCGAAGCTTTCATCACCCTACTGGGTGACATCTTCAGCGCATACTTCGAATTGAAGAACACAGCCACATCAAAATCATCCACCTGAGCTACAGATCTTCTCCATGAGCTCTAATATATCCGTGTTAGGTTAACCTAAGCCTAACCCTGTCCTTAGCCTAGACCTAACCTTAATCTTCCCCGTATCTAACATACAATTAGCCAAATACCCTGTTTAATATCATTAAACTGCATTCAACACTGTCCTCCATGAAAATATAGTTATTCACCTGGTTTCACAAAATTTCAGACTGAGATTTCCATGGCCATTGGTGCCCAAAATTTAGCTTCATCTTGTAAGTCATATGTTATTAACTATTGTTGTTGTTAGTTGTTCCTCGGACTCCGAGTGGAACATATGGTATCAGCTGAGGTGCACCGTTATTCCAGTCCGTTCTGTATGGTCGTCTTTGTAACTGGCTTTACTGTTGCTCACAAGCTTTCATATTCTCCCTTATTTTATCCTCGGAGCCACACCCAACTCGTCACCAACCAATAGAACTGGAATGTCTCCTCAGCGTATGTCCATGGCATCTTCCTGTCCTTATGTATATTTGTCGGTCAATAGATTCTTAGCTGGTTCATTGCTAGAGTTCCTTGTTGATTATCCTTTCTGACCTCGTAATCTTGAGTGTTGAATGAACGCAGCGTTAGAGAAAGGTCTCGGTAGCCTTTTGGAAATGCGTTTTGTGATGCTCTTACCAGTTCTTTGAATTACATACAAGCACTCAATGACGTGACATTAGAGTTCGAAATTCAGGTCTTGTTTATTGGGCTAAGTGCTGTAGGCAAGTCATTAATACATGGAAGTTGCTAATAGGATTGTATATATACTCATTATATTCATATTAACTATTCAGTGTAATAATTAATAATAGGGGATATGTAGCTCCATGATCAAACCCCGTTCCAACTAGCCCTTCTCACATAATAGATGTGTTTCTTATTGCTAACTTCATGGGAATGCAAGTGATTGTTTCTTGAGTAACATTCTGCTCCATAGTACATATTGTAATAATAATGACAACTTTATTCTAGGTAATTACCTGTCAGTTGATCCACAAGGGAAAACTCAGGGAAGCCTTTGAAGGGAATACAGGATTGAGAAGGACAAGGCTGCCTACCATCACCCATGATATTCCTAACCGTGGACGACTGGATTATGCGGGAGACCGTGTATGGAGATGGAAAAGACAGGAATACGTTGGACGGATAACAAGACTCTAGAAGATCTGGATTTCGTGGAGAGTTTATCTCTAGTGTCGCACAAACCTGAAGGCTAAAACCAATAAACTGACAGAAGAAAAGGTGGAGACAGGAGTTAAAGGAAAGCATAAAGAAGACGAGGGTGATGAAAATAACCAATCAGCGCCAGTCACTACCGACGGGAGAAATTTTAAAGAGGCCACTTCCTTCGCTTGTCTAGGCAGCATCATTTTAACTACAGCAGACGGCACATCAGGATGTCCAAGTTAACTAGAAATGGAAAGGCAGGACAGACGTTCATCATTCTGAAATCAGTTTGGAAATCACTGCCCTGTAACATAAAGAAGAAAATTGGATTTTCAACACCAATTTTAAGTCAGTCGGTTCTTGTATATGTGACAGAAACTTGGCGCGAGCATCACGAAAAAATATCCAACAGGTTGTAAACTTTTATCAACAGTTTGCTTCGCTGGCTCTATATGAAAGATCAAATAGCCAGAAAGAATCAGCAACAAGAGACTCTGGAAACAAATCAATCAAGCACTTATTGCTCAATAAATATGTAGAAGGAAGTGGAGATGGATCGGGCACACTCTGAGTTGACCATCGAGTGAAATCATACGCCAAGCTGTCGCTGCAGTAGACCTTGCTTGAGGAACGACGAGTTGCACGTTCGATGGTGACATGTAGGATATTATATGAGTATGAGATGAAAGACTATGGGTAGTTTTGAGGTCAGCTGAAAGGATTGCAAAGAATAGGACAAAGTAGAGGTGTGCTATCGAAGCCTTATGTTCTACTCGTAATCCAAGGGAACAATAATAATAATTCAAGACACTGCTAACACATGATAAATAATTTTTGGAGTATCTAAATTTCAAAATATCTATTCTTCTTGGTACATTGTTTTCAAGTACAACACGATACAGTGATCTAATTCAGTCAGGAAATAAGCCGTAGATGGTTATGCATTCCTTTATGGTTATTTTCTATCACGCATACGCCATTGGCGAGACATACATCCTTTTTGACTTCCTCATTTTTTATAGTTTGGTTCTCGATTGAATGGTGGTGGTTGGAAAGTTTCTAGTAGTAGATTCAGGGGTAGCTTGTGATCTGGGGGCGTGATATACCGACGTCGTATCTAATTTTTGTCTCATCCACGTTTCACGTTCAACTTTGACCTTGTACATAAGAGTCCCACGCTGCCATTCTATGAAACCTTTTCCCCAGTGGATAATCACGCGCGTGGATGATCTCTTGTGAAAATATCCCACGCTATTCTGTTGTTGATACGATGGTGATGGCAACATGGAGTAGTGGTGCTTTTGTAGCAATACTATTCGTCAGTAGGTCATGTGATGTGCTGTCATGTTTCATTCGTGACAATATTCACTCCTCTACGGTCAGTTTCCTTCATATCCTTCGAAGAAAATTCGCTCCTCATTACTGTTTACAGCAAACTAAAAATATACGTGAGTTAATGTCCCAGTCTAAAAACAAGTGATTAAAACATTGTATAAATGGACGAAGGTGTATGGATCTTGTGCTTTGGATGCAAATTAATGTGTATGTGTAACCTCGTGATAATATGCCCGCCTTTTGTCACTGCCCTGTAGATCCTTCATTGAAAGTCTCTCATAATGCTATATTATTATTTGTATTTTTGCCCCTCTAAACGACCTGGTCTCACCTAGGGTGCTTAGGCTTTGGTCTCCATCTTTCTCGAAATGCTCTCATGTGGCCACACGTTCATACTTTCCGTGCCGTCAAGTGAGCTGTCCTGCTCATTGCCTCCCCTCAGTGTGTAGGGAAGTGTGTTCCTCAAAAAAAATAAAGGGTAAATGAGAACGTCTGTTGCTAACAACTGGATGAGTGGAGTATATGTGGGTCTATCTACGGGAGCTAGAAAATCCTGATGGTTTCCAAACCTATGGTATTTTGTACATGGACTCCAGAATCCGAAAAAATCGAATGTTCACTGGTAACCATGGAGACATAGCAACTCCTGACGCTGCTCCAATGCATTGCTTTGTGGGTAAGATTTCCAATCAAAGACTCGGAGGGATGGACCCTTGATCTGTGTGTCCTGACAGTAAGTATCCCTAGCCCTCTCGAAAGTTATGAGACAATTTTATGTGGTGCATTTCTTGATGGTGCCCATAGTGTACGAAGTTTGTGTTTTAATAATATTTTTTTATTACTATTATGTGATTATCTTTAACATACGCTTGGTTTGTACTCATTCTCTTTCTACTCTCTGCCACATTAATGATTCAAATGGGGGGTTGTTATACAGCCTAATTTATTATGTAATTCTGACCTTCAGTCAACAAGTAAGCAACCTGAGTTCCTGCTTCCAGCTAGTCAAAGTTCAAAGTTACCTCCGTTACCTCCTAGACCTTCTGTTGATTGTGAAGTAAGAGCTTCTACTCTTAATAATCGAATATTCGATGGTAATAAATGTGATCAACCATTGTCATCCATTACTCCTTATCCTAATACTACTACGATAACGACAACACCAATGACTACTTCCACTACTGTACATTCTGATAATGAGCATGACCAATCATATACAACAACAACTAATAGTAATAATAACAACCAGTTGATGAGTCAAAAAGCGCCGCCAGTAAATCACACAAGACCATCAATTTCTTTCAGTGAATCATCATCAAAGTAAGTGATAACGTGTTTTTCTTTTGGTTCGTATTGACCGACGTTTTTCTTCAATAACTTATTTTACTCAAGGTTGACCAAGCAGCAGTATGGATGGTATCCACAAGGATGCGAACGTCATTCGATTTTAGAATTCATCACTCAGCTGAGTGAGTGAGTGTTCCTCCCCCTGAGTGACACTCAAAACTACCAGCTGTCCACTCATCGTTTCAAATCCTAAAAAGCATTATCTCTACTAGGTCACTGATTTTATGAAAGTCCAACCTCTTGTGGATGTTAACGTCTTTTAGTGCTTAGACGCTTCGGGAAATTCAAATACTCGCCTTATGCGATTTCCTAAGCTACTTCTTTATCTTACCTAAGACGCGCGTGTTTCCGTTTCGATTCCCAGCTACAGAGACAATTTTCTTACGCTAACCGATGAAGAGGGAATGAATATCTGTCTGTTTTCAACATAGAACTTTGCACCAATGAGCAGCAGTTCAAGTCGCCACACTCCCTTTAGCACACAAAGCAAAGAACGAAAGTACAACAAATGCAAATTAGAGACAGTAAACAGGTATATGAGACAAAAGGAATAGCAATGATGAAGAAAAATATAGTTTCATTGGAAAATATAAGTCATAAGGAGTGGATACATCTGCGCCATTGAGAAAGATTTTGAGCCATATGACCGATTGTCTCCAACCATTGGTTTTACCGTCCCGAGGACCCCAACTAGTCAGGAAGTCTACACCTTCCTACGTCGCTGGCTTAAACTAACTGTTATGGATTTCATTGACTGATGAAGCGATGTTTAGGTTTGACCACCACTGGCTCTTTTCCAACTTGACCCTATGTCAGCTAACATTGCTCGTCGAGGAAGGCGATGGCTAGGCATACGTAACACATGTCCTGACCATCTCAGTCGATGTAATTTCACAGCCCCGTCGATTTTTTTCCCCTCCTTACCTAGCACTCGACCGATGCCTAATCTCAATATTGTTCACCCTGTTATAACACTTCACACGGAGATAGAACACGGGCACCTATGATAAAAGACAACTAGCGTCTTCATGTCTTGCACTTCCAGTGGCCATGCCTCACTTACGGCCATAAAGGAGGACGGATCGCACTGCTGAGCAGTAAACACGCCCTTTGGTCCATAGCCAGCTGGATATCACGTCTACGCCAGAGACGGTGTAAACTGGCATATGCCAAACGAGCCTTCTGTATCCGTGCTGAGATTTCGTCAGCGATCAACCCGTTGGCATTGGCTGATGCAACTCCCCAAATAAGTGAAGTGGCCAACACGCTCTACCACTTCACTCCCTATTTCTGAGCTACGAGTCAGTGTAGTCGAGTCCTGTAGCCTCATCATCTTACATTTGGCGGGAGCGAATCGCATGCCAAACATTCGAAGATTGCAGCTCAAGGTGTTCAGAAGACTGCAATTTGTCAGCATCTTCACCTAGCAGGGAGCACTATATCATCTGCACATTCTAAGTCAACGAGATTATTCCCTGGTGGTAACAAATCAATCCCTGAGTCTTTGAAGTGAGTTAGGGTTAAGTCCATTAGTACATCTGTGATTAAATTGAATAGAAATGGGTATAGTGGTCATCCCTGTTGGACACCACTAGCTGTCACCACTTCAGTTGACAACTCGCCATAAGCCTTCACTGGGTTGCATGAGTTCGAGTAGAATGCCTTGATCAGTGCAATGTATTTTCTCGGCATTCCTTTCACAACCAAGCGTCTCCATAGTACTTCTCTGTCGACAAAATCAAATTCCGCGTTTAGGTCAAGAAATATGACGATTGTTGGTCGTCGGTAAGTATGCCTATGTTCCACAATCTGTCGAAGGGTGGACATATGATCAATACACCCTCCTCCTGGTCTAAAGGTTGACTGCTTTTCTCGCGTTTGTTTCTCCCGAGCGTCACTTAGTCTACTCATGATTATCGAGCTGAGAACTTTGGATACCGTATTAGTCAAGCTAATCCCCTTATGATTATCACAGGAAGACTTGTTTCCCTTGCTGTATACTAAGATAATCAATGACTTACACCAGTCGAACGGGACTATCTCTAATTCCTAGACATTGCCTAATGCCTTAGTTAATCCAGACAGAAATTTCCAACTGAACTGCTCCTTATAGTGTTCCTTCCAGCATTCCAGTCGTCTATCCTGGAAGCTAATTATGGTGCTATTTTTCTCAGAGATTGTTTCACTTATCGTTTCCCTTTTACCACCTGTTTCCCTAATAAGCCTAAATAGTTGTCTGGTGTTACCAGTTGCCGATGCTCTTTCCATCTCTCTTTCGCTTTTGTCGCCCACCACTGTTCATGGCCGTTACGAAGGCTTCCTGTTAGTTTGCGTTTGAGCAGTTTTCGCTCCTCATCATATTCGGAGCTCACCGGAATCAGTCTTCTTGCGTCAATCAGTTCGGATGAGGTGGTAGAAATCAATCCAATGGCTCTTACTAACTTCTGGTTCTGGGTAATTAGCAGCTTTTACAGCTGTGTCTACAGCTAACTGTATGTTTTGCCAGGCTACCTCAGAAGGAGTTCTGATGTCGACCTCAGATACACGCTTGGCTATTTCTTCTTTAAATAAGGACTCAGAGCCTCGACCTAGTTGGGGACGTAACTGTTTCGCTGCCAACAACTTCTTATGTCCGTTTTATCGTAAGCGTAGACTAGAGCGTGATACGAGTCTACGCACGTGTTCCAAAAGGAGTGGCAGTCTTCTACTTACCCTCGCCAACGATACCCAGTCGCTGTGTGGCCTATCTGAGTCCAGCGTTCATTTGGTGATGGAGGTCGCCAGGTTACTCAGTTTCTCTCTTTATGCCTGATGAATATCATCGCTGCTGAAACTTCGAAGCTCGAACTGGAAGCTGTCCGTTGCTGCAACTTGCAACATAATGGAGTGATCAAAAACACTGACTTGGTTGTTGCAATAAAAATCTGTGGAACATAACCATATATATATATATATATATGCACCAGCTTGTGAAATACTGTCTTGAATTTTAATGGTTCATGACTGATGGCAGTCAGTTAATTACTTGGTTGTCCTCTGGTCTTTTTTATATTAAACAGAGTCAGTCTAATGTGAGGTATTGTTCTCCTGCTGCGTTTACACCTTGTGTGTTGCAACTGGAATAATGCCTATACGTCTCGTGGTTGAGGCAAACTTCGATTATGAGTCGCTTAAGTTGTATATAAGAATAATTACTACTTGACTTTATTTATTTTCTAAACTGTTATATATATATATATATATATATATATTCGTAAACATTCTTCACCAGGTTTTGTGTTATGTCATGACAGTAGAAACTTTTATTGAGGAAGGTCTTGATGGCTCTTTTCTTTTTGTTGAGTTGCCGGGGACACTTGGATTATCAAAAGAACTTATTTGGCAAGTTGCTTTCACCCCGGTTGACTGACTAACTGATTACTGACGAAAACTTCGCATAGATGTAAAAGGCTCATGTGTCAACTTGTATCATAGCTGTGGTGTGTTTCCATGAAATAACGTGTATAGCACAGCTGCAGTTCTATCTATTCTCCTTTAAGACAGTGACAAATGGCGATTGAAAGTAGGAGATATGAAGGGGCTGGGTAACTCTCTTTGACCACAGATACTTTCGTTCCATATTTTGCGTGTAAAGTGGTATAATGTAGTGGGTAACATTGAGGTTAGGCGTTGACTGTTAGGTAAGGAGGAGAGTAAGTCAGTCGATGTAAATGTGAAGCTGCGCATGGCTTTCGATGACTAGGATACCTGTTATGTATGTATGTCTGTGGGGTCACATATGGCTAAGTTGGGAAAGACCTAGGTAGATAGGGGGGAATCAAACCAAAACTTGGGATCATTCATTGAAGTTGAGAAAGATTTTGGAAACCAATGATACGGCTGAAAATCATCCTCAGTGTTTTAGCCGCATTCATTCTTTAAGTAATTTCTCATGCCCAATAAATCATCATGTTTATCCATGTTAATATCCATACCCTCTTACATGGTGTGTAGAAAGTTGAACTCTTGCGCATAATAGTTCTATGCTGAAAACTCAGTCAGTTAATCACACCTTTTGTCTAAGGCTTAATCATAGTAGGAGTAGTTTTAGTTCAAACCCTTGCTCACCCTTTAGGGTTGATGAACAACACTCTTGGTTCATCCAATGGGTAATATTGTGTGTGAATGAATCGATAAGTTACACTTATTTTTTCATTCCATCTCATTGTCCCCCTTATTCTTTCTGAATACAAAACATCAATTGGTCAGACAAAGTTTATTGACGACAACAGGTGTGTGTTGTTTGTAAGGAAAAACAAAGAAAACTCACTAAATGTATATTGATTGTATTGATTTTTTTGTCATTCATTGCGTCCCAATTTGGGATATAGGGCTTCAGTGCTTTTCACTTTTAGAAGTTCCAGTAACGATGATGTTGTTGCGTTTACCGAATGGTGTAGGAGGAGGATAGGGGCTGCTTTAGCATGTGCACTAACCAAAGTGGGAATCTTCACAGCGACACCAAATGTTGTAGCTGCAGAACATGGTAGTATTCGACTTCAGAATTGTTTATTTTTGCAACGTAATATACAGGCATAACAGAAGCTTTGAAGCACAATAATTTCCGTGATAATTTGATCAGGATGTAAGAAATTTTAAGAATAAAATTATTAATAATCATAACAATGAGGACGGCACGCATGACAAACATTCACAGAAAAATGATAACACACCTAGAATAGGGATTCTAAATCATCAGTTGTAGTGCTTCCATGCATAGAAGGGACCTCTGAAACCACTTGACATAGAATTCTTAACAATACAATAATAAAAAAAGGCTGGCATTCAAAACACCCACCCACAAACTCACTCAGAAACCAACTATATAAAGGAATGGTTCCTGTGGAACTCATTCGATAAAGTAATTTGCTATAGTTTGGTTTGTAAGGGTTTGTTATGTTTTTACTTGTTGATCACGGATTGATATCAGTTAGAGAACCATTGAAAACCAGGGAGTACTGGACAGCTGTTTCATCCTAGTTTAGGAATCATAGGCAGCACGCACCCACTGGGGTTCGAACCCAGGACCTTCCGGTTACAAGGCAAGCTCGTATACCATTCAGCCACTGGGACCCGATTCAATGGCTCATGAATTCTAACTTCTACCGATTCGTGATTTAGCGCGACCCCAACCATTGTCGTTGGTGGGACATCCATCCACACACGTGACATCTAATTGGATCTCACTGGTCACGACTTCTCACAAGAACTCCAGGAAACTCCATCCTGTAGAGGTGCGTACTGCCGATGATTCCCAAATTAGGATGAAACAGCAGCTGTCCAGTACTCCCTGGTTTTCACTGGTTCTCTAACTGATATCAATCCGTGATCAACAAGTAAAAATAATTTACTTTAGGATATTTAATATCGTGCAATAGTTGTAAGATGCAATGTATAGGTATTGGGTTTTCGTCTTAGTGAGAATACCATCGCTCACTGAGGGATGCAGGTACATCCAGTACAGGTACACCCACTCCCTCCAGAGTAAAGAGGAAGTCTAGCTGCATCCTAGTCATTTGAGGGAAACACCTTACTGCTGTTAAATCCCCGTTCCCCAGAAGTACGACTTCGCCCACAGGCACGCAGCATAGTGTAAAAAATAAATTCCTACACTATGCCGATAACCGCTTTTAGTTTAATAGCTATCATAACAGTCTTCTTGTCATGATAGGACGTGCAGGAAGATTAGTGCTAGCCAGGGTAGCTTGTTGAGTCATTGCAGTATGCAAGCTCGACTACCACGTCAAGGTATCAGCTATCGGTCAAGGCCTGTCTTGCCGAACGATCCTGACTGGATTTGACATCTTCATTCGTATCACTGCCTGTAGTTGAAACTAAGCTGCTTAGATAAGTGAAAGACGTGTCCTTGAAATTGTTCCCGTTGACACCGACTGTCTGTTCTATCTTCATTCACTTGGAGTCTTTCCTTCGCTGCATTCCTCTACTGTGAACTTGTTGGTTTTCGCCTGTAAGTCTTTGAGTTTGTGTGACATAAATCATCCTCGAAGTCCAAAACTCCTAGTGTTTTCTTTTCGGTGCAATGTATTCCTGTCTTCTCGCTCGTCACGCATGACCTTCAGCTTAACCCAGTCCACTACAATCAAGAATGTCATCGGTCATAAATCTGTTAGGATATCATTATGAATAGGGAAATCTGAGTTAGAAAATAATAGTACCATGTTTTGTTTTTCATTCATTCAGAGATGTCAAAACTTTTTAATAATAATTAACATCGTATATCTACCCAATGTGCAAATAAGTTCGCAAACCATTAAAATTAAACTTGGTTTGGACATATATTGATGGTATATTGTTATTAGATAGTTGGAGGAAATCAGCAGGAAGCCTTGTCTGATATAGGTTTCATGCTTGTTGGCACTCGTTAGCTCGGTGGCGACATGTCTGTTACTGCGGCACTCGGTGATTCAGTTTCGAATTCCACAGGGGACAACATTAGTCCCTTCAAGCTTTCAGATGCGCCTTATTGAGTAGTGTGAGTGGCGACAATCACGAAATCTATGCCAAACAAGACTTCCTGTCGATAGCCTTCAAGCATCGTAATGGTGATTATGGTGGCCGCATTGCAAGCTTGACTGATAGTAAATTCAGTCTGCACAAACCCACCAAGAACTGGACGTATGACACTAATTACTATCTAGTTTCCAGTCAAAGTACTGACGTTGTGTTTTACTACCTCTGAATTATTTGCTGACTGACAAGCCTCATTAATCGCCTTTATTTTCTCTAGGTATCATAATAATCTCGAAATGGAGCTTTCTCTGTGCTCTGTCAATGATGTGTTCGATTCATCCGCTGTAGCTGTAGCTGCCTGTGCAGCCGCTGCACTGACTGCCGACAACTCTGCTGCCTATCCGACATCTTCACTGAAGACTATGGGGACACCAACCACCGGTGGATTCGATACTACAAATTTAGGTGATGATGACGACGATGGAAAATTCGATGATGCACCAGGTTAGTGTTAATTGTTATATATAATTATCAAGTGTTGGTTTGCAGGGATTTTGTTGGTTATAGGTTTGATCACAACTTGACATTTAGAGAACCATTGGATGACCAGCTAGGAGTAATGGACAGCTGTTTCGTCCCCCTAGCTTAGACGTCACCAGCAGTACAAACCTACGGGGTTTGGATTCTAATGCTGATAAGTGAATGACTGACCACAGGATGAAGTTTACTGGATTATTCTAGTGAGAAGTCGTGACCAGTGGGGTTCACCCGGTCGTGAGTGAGGACATATACACGACACTGGCTGGTACCAGTCGCGCTAAAATCACGAATTAGTAGGAGTTACAGTCCATGGTCTGGTCGTTGAGTCGGCTCCCAGTGGCTGAATGGTCTACGAGCTCGCCTAGTTGTCGGAAGGTCCTGAATCTGAAACCTGGTGGGTGCGTATTCCCGATGAATGTCAAACTAGGATGAAACAGCCTTCTAGTACTCCCTGTGGCTGATTTTCAACGGTCCTCTAACTAGACTAAAACTAGTTAGCATCATTATAGTGTAAGTGTTTTTCACTGTATGTTTCGGGATGTGAAGTTGTATAGTTGACGAATAGGCGGGTGTAATAGCGGTAAGAGATGTTTTCTTCCGACGACCAGCTAGCTGTATTCTGTTCCCTAGCTTTTGCGGAGAAGTAAACCCCAATAACTGTACAACCACACTCACTGATAATCAGTTCAAACCCCTAAAACCCACTGTAAACAAACCCCAAACAGTTGTTCCATAGGTTCTGCCAGAACCCTCTGTCTTAAGTATCGATTTCTGCAGTGCTGTGAAATCGTTAACCATAACAGAAATAAAAAAATTGAGGCATCCACATTTTTTCTTTAATAGGGTAAAGACATCCGAAACCCTCTGTGTAGGATTCCTCACAAAGCAGGAATCAGGGCTGGCACTTAAAACTATTGAAACTCACTCAACGACAAGTCCTGTAGGTTAAAGGACCGTATTGTGGTCGCGTGTTCAATTTGTGGGACTAGTGATTGAAACCAGCCACACCCCAAAGCCTGTTTGAAATAGCTTTTAGTGTTGTCTCTCTACGATGATGATCTTATCACCGCACGATGTGTCGAAATGTAAATTTTTCGTGGCTCCTCGTTGCTCCCCGTAGCCTTCCATAAAGGCAGAGTGAGACAGTATTACTGGTATGTTGGTCTTTTTTTTTTGGGGGGGGGGGTAAACACCATACTCTTTCAGGCCCACGTCATTTTGTGAGCGAATTACGACATGATGATAACTGCATTTCATATAACCGCTTTCTGAACGGCCATTTTGTGGAATGGTTACATCCTACAGAAAAATTAGTCTCAGTCAGTGTAGCTTGTCTGGCAGTGCATAGCAGTTATCCATCAGACAGCTAGTAATAGCAGTAAGATGTTCCTGTCAAGTCTATCCTTTGTGAGATGGAAGACAGGTCAGGAGTAGCCAATTGCAGAAGGTGTTCATCCCAAACCTCTGTAGTGGTCCTTAGCAAGTGGTGTTGTCAGTCTGGAAATAATAACCGCTATGGCCGCCGACACGCTTCCATAAGTGCATCCTATGTGAGGAGTTGTCTTTTTTGAGTGCTTTTTCTTCATCCATTGTCTTCATAATCCTTTTTGTAAAAGAAAGGAATTAATATAGACTTTGCATTTCATGGGACATACGTAAATTGTGTTGTTTTTCTTTCTTTTCCTAACCCTGACTGGATTGATATTGTTTTAGAAAAAAATTCTTATGGGGTAGTATATTTATATCGATTGATTGTTAATATTATTACTGATAATAGTAATCATGTATTCATTTTGTGCATACACTAATATGCACCCGTGGGTGTGTGCGTGTGTCCGGTGATGATTGTTGGAGTTGAGGTTGTTATAATCTGTTGGCCTGTTTTCTTTGACCTGTCCGTGGAGATTTTTTGATTATTATTCTAACGCTAAGGATAATTGATTATCCGTAGATTGGATAGAACTACGGACGCACAAATGGTTGGTGGTGTCGGGGGTGGATCAGTGGATGGATGATAGTATATGACTGGCTACTACTGCAATGAATAACTTAGAAGAAATGATTATATTTTATTGGAAAATATAATCTATTTACAACTGAAATGCCACACATATGCACACACAAACACACACGTCTGTGCACCATTCGTACGTAAGCACCCTATGACACACACACACACGTGGTATCCATCCATACATATATTTCAATGGACAGATATAAAGATAAAAATATATACCTTTTCGCAAAACAATAGGAAAGAAGAACCATGCTTTGTACTTAAATCAATTTTCGTCTTTGCATTTAACTATCCTATACTACTAAGTGATGGAGATGAGTAGTAGTTGTGTACTACTCACATCGAGCAGTAAATGGTGCCTGTTAGCTAAAAGCGGGACTGAAGTGATCCAGAAACAGCGAACGGCCGTTTCGCTCAATTGGGACCAATCTCTTCAGTCCCCGGTGTAATCGGTTTTTCATTCACATCTCAGAGAGTGACAGTCGAATCAATTCGAACCAACCGATTTCTGGTTGACTGGCTAGCCAACCATTTTAACGAACTGATAAGACAATAAATCATATTCGAATGATATCTTTTGGAAACCAGGTTATTCACATCACTACAGTATGTGATCTGCTTCATACTGCCGTCAATGTTAATCGATAAAATAAGCATAAACACGTAAAACTATTCATACTACTGGCGAAAATATATTTTGATAAAGTTTAACAGTGTCATATAGTAATATTTACTGATAACATTTCGAGCACAATTTACTGCTCATAATCATATCAAGCGTCGGTGGCATAGCGGTTAGGACGCTCGCCGACCATGCACATGGTCCGGGGTTCGATCCCGGCCGACGCAATCCTTTACCTCGCCAAGCCAGAAATAATGCTGGTCAAGAGGAAAGGTTGGGCATGAGGCTAGCAACCTCATCCTGTAAAAATTAACACTGCTACAGAAACTTCAAGCCACTAGCTTGAAGCCCTATGTTCCACTGGGGAACGTGAAGGAAAAAAAAAATCATATCAAGCTACATTAATATCATTGATCACAATATGTGATCTAGTTCATACTATCAGTGGTAATCACGGAACCAGTCATATACGCCTAAGTACTATATACTACTGATTGATTGACATGGAGGAGTAGTTGTGTGCCGCTCACATATCAACTACTAGGGCTAGCTGGCCACCCAGCTCAAAGTGAAATAATAACCATTTCAAACTGTGTAAACTGCAAATTCGATTTATGATGTTACCAGTTCGCCCAAGTTGCTAACCAGTCAGCCAGAAATTGCGTGACTTGGACTGATTCGACTATCTCTCTCTGTGCTGAGTTAAACAAAGCACCAACATATGTGTAAGACATGGGCACTGTGGGAGTATATAATTCAATATTAGTTCGTTTATTAGATATATCATACAGTGAAACAGTATTATCTACCAATTGACGTTTCGAACACAATTTATGTTCATAATCATATCATCAATTATAATCACAACTCCGAAACTTGAGTTTTATAGTTTTCTTTATTCTCTCCTATTTGTCGAAGGGGTAGTGTTGAATCATTCCTATTACACGAATCTCCAGTTACCTCGACAATCAATCTCTTCCTCCACCCTGTCACATTCGATTTTAAAACTGTCTTCTTTTCCCATCCTATTATATGGCTGTGTGTAATTGCATGTAGTGCTATAGCTGAACTATTCTCTAGATTTCTTATCTTATTAGCGTTAACCAATCTAGATTTTGCTAGGTTTTTATGCTCGGCTAGTCTGACTGCCCCTGGTCTACTACTCTGACCTATGTATTTGACCTGACAATCATTGCAGGAGTATTAGATAAACTAAATTGTTTTGTTTTAAAGGCTCCACAGAATCGTTCCTTTAACCGATAAAGTTTATTTCTAATTGAGTTTTTTGGATTTGAATTCCACTCTTATCCCTTCCTGCACTGTTAAGAATTCTGCATAAGGTTTCCGAGGTTCCTTCTTTGTATGGAAGTACTACTGAGGAGAGAATAAAGGAAACTGTAAAACTCAAGTTTCGAAGTCGTGTTAATATAATTGATATGATTATGAACAATAAATTGTGTTCTAAACGTCATCTAGCTGATAATACTGTATGATATATCTAATAAACAAAATAATTTCGAATTTAGACACAGCACACTAACCTCTTATGAGCTCTGTCGAAAACAAGGAAAGGAGTCATTGGATAACTTCGATGATTCACCTGGCAAGTAAGTATACAAGTAATCATCTCAATCAATCAGTAGTATAGTGTCTCGTTTGATGCATCTTCTCTTTCCCTTTTTCTTTTGTAGGACTGCATAAACTTCCCCTTGGTTTTCATTTATTTTATGCTGTGTTTCTTTTTTACAACATTATCGGTTATTTAATGCACTTGGGTCAATGGTTTGGTGATTCCAAACTCCTCAGCTTAGCCGGTGTTAGTAAATATGTGGTAAAGAGGAGATGTTTGACGTCTAGCTAGCAATTCTGGTTCACGAAAACAAGCGATGCCATTGCTACTAGCACTTCAAAATAGCTTGAAGCTCTGTGTTCCACCTTGAAGGCCAAGAAATGATGTGAAAGTTTGTAGGAAACTTGAATCTCCATGGGATTATGTAGGATCAAAAGGATTTAGTGAAGAAATATTTGGTTGTTAACGTTAATTAGCTAATATCAGCATTTCAAACGGAAAAGGGTTGTAATTAGTGAAGCAAATTAAGACAAAACAATGAAAGGGTTATAAGTGATTCCGACAAGTGAATTGCATAGTGCATAATTTGGAGAAAACAGGGTAATATAATTTGGTCGAATATATATATATATATATATATATATATATATATACTTATTACAAAGTAAGGTGGGGTGAGCGAAATTCGAATTCATTGAGTTTATTATGACTATGAGTTTTTCCCCGTGTAATTGTGTATATACAAAGGTCTAGTACTCAAATCATCGTTTTATTAACAGCAAGCGAGCTGTTGTTTTTGCCCAATTTCCTACTAGTTATTAAAGGAGAGTTGTATTGCCTTAGGTTCATTGCGTTCTACTAGAGATCCATTGAGTTTCTTTTTCAGTGTGATTGTCTTTTCTTAAAGTGGGTCACTTCTAGTGGACTGATTGATTTCGGACGAAATCTCGACTGGCGTGGCTTTTGATGCCAACTTGAGATGTGATATCCGACTACCAGTAAAATGACATATGTGCCGCTCATCGATGTGGTTTGTCTTTCTTCATAGCTGTGAGTGAGACATGGCTACTGAAAGAGGCCAGATGTTTGCCTTCTATCTTCCGTGTTAGTTAAGTGGTATTATTGGTGAGTGGAATTGAGGTAATTAGGCATCGAATCCGACTATCGACCAAAGGGCGGCTGTGCTGCTCAACAGTCCGCTCCGTCCTCCTTTATGGCTGTGAGACCTGGCCATTGAGAGCAGAAGACATGAAAAGATTAGCTGTCTTCGATCATAGGTGTCTGCGTTCTATCTCCCGCGTGAAATGGTATGATAAGGTGAGCAATATTGAGGTTAGGCGTCGAGTGCTAGGTAAGGCGGGGAAATCGGTCGACGAGACTGTGAAATTACATCGACTGAGATGGTTAGGACATGTGTTACGTATGCTTAGTCATCGCCTTCGTCGACAATGGGCAATGTTAGCTGATATAGGATCAGGCTGGAAAAGAGTCAGCGGCAGTCAAACCAAAACATGGCACCAGTCAATGAAATCTACAACAGTTATTCTAAGCCAGGAAGGAGTAGACTTCCTGGTTGGGGTCCTCGGGACGGTAAAAACCAATGGGAAGGATTTTGAGCCATGTCACCAATTGTTTCCAACCATTGGTTTTTACCGTCCCGGGTACCCCAACCAGGAAGTCTACATCTTTCTACGTGGCTTAGACTAACTGTTGTGGATTTCATTGACTGGTGCCATGTTTTCGTTTGACCGCCGCTCTTGTCCAACCTGACCCTATATAAGCTAACATTGCCCATTATCGAGGAAGGCGATGACTAGGCATATGTAACACATGTCTTAACCATCTCGGTCGATATAATTTCACAGCCTTGTCGATTAATTTCCCCTCCAGTGTCAGTGGGACTACCCAGTGAAGATGTGCGTACATGTTCAACTGACGATCCCCAAGTTGGACGAAACACGCCTACTGCTAATCACTACTAAACCGCATTACGCCTAATGGGAAATGTCAACATTCTTTGCCGCCTGGATGGAAAGAACTTTGGAGTGAGAGTTCGTTACTTCACACCCATCCTTCCCTCTTCGGTTCAATGTTGACTGACTAGGTGAGGTTTAGAATTGTATCGGCAGCCGAAAGTGGAATGTGGACCTCCCATGCACGTGGTCCGGCAAGTATTCTACTGTTGAGAACTGTCGATCCCATATGTCTTAATATGTCTCTCATCAATATTTTTTTGGTTCTTTTTTCAGTTCTTGCCACATCTACTCCACCAGGATCACCAAAATCGAAACATAATGACTCATCTGTTGTAAATCCTTACGCTGCTCCTACTACCATCATCGATAATAATCATCACATTTCATTTGCAGCACCAACAACATTCCCTAATTGTTTCGGTGTTAAAGTTATTTGTCAGGGAGTGGTTCAACGGCGTACTGTTTGTCGTTTCCCTCCAGTAGTTTTTGGAAGAGGAGATTCAAATCAAAGTTTAAATTCCACTAGTTGTTCGACAAACACTTCTTTATTCACATCACCATCGCCACCAGTTCATGCTTCCAATTCCTCCTTGTCAACTGCATCAAATATTGCTGCTGGGGAGACTACAAAATCTGTCTATTTTGATATTTCATCATCAACAAAATATCGACAAATCGGCTTTTCTAAGTGGCGTCGTTTATGGGCTACGCTAGTGTTAGTTGGTGATGGATTAACAGCATATATGATCTATTTTGAACCGAAGGTAAAAAATGCAATCCACAGAAGTCAAGTAAGTCTTATACCTTGTTTTGTGTTAAGTGTTTTTTTTGTGTTTATGATTCTCCTGAAACCCGTAATCAAAATTACCTGGTACGCCTGAGGGTGTATAAACTTCGGTATGTATGTATTATTATTAAAACACAAAATTGTCTCATAGTCTGCTCGGACTCCCAGACCGAAGTAGATGGTGACTGTCTTCATAACCCACCTCGTTCTCAATCCATTGACGAAATGTTTGATCCACAAGTTAGTGCAATGGAGCAGTGTTAATGGTCGTTACGTTCCCATAATTGCCGTTGGTCAAACCAAGTTTTTAACCCTATTCAATTCGTTCGGGTTATGAAGCTTTTTTGTAGACGAAGGCTATGAAAGCGTGGCTACATGGTAGGATTTGGAGAGAGAAAACCGAACATTACCTACTCATCCGCGTTGACCGTACTAGGTCGCTTATGGCGGCATCCTCTCAAAATACTGCGATGTGACCCGGTTTGATCACCCAGTTAAAGTCGTTGTCAGCTAGAAGGAGTTACTGTACTAGACAGCTGTTTGGGACTGTTCAGCCGTGTGAACCCATAATCCCACAATCAGGGATCCAACCCAGGACCTTCAGATTACAAGTCATACTCTCGTCCATTTGGAGGGTATCCAACGGCCTGTCAATTCTGACTGCCGCTAATTCATCACATATGTGGCATTGGTGAGTACCTGTCATCCACACTAGTCGCCCTACTGACAGCTTTTAATGCACTCCTCCTCAGTATGACATAGCGCTCAACAGCAGGACTCCTCCTGAGGTAGCCCGGCACAACATACAGTTAGCTGTAGACACAGCTGTAAAAGCTGCTAATTACCCAAAACCAAAAGTTAGTAAGAGCCATTGGATTTATTTCTACCACCTCATCCAAACTGATTGACGCAAGAAGACTGATTCCGGCGAGCTCCGAATATGATGAGGAGCGAAAACTGCTCGAACGCAAACTAACAGGAAGCCTTCGTAAAGGTCGTGAACAGTGGTGGGCGACAAAAGCGAAAGAGAGATGGAAAGAACATCGGCAACTGGTAACACCAGAAAACTATTTAGGCTTATTAGGGAAACAGGTGGTAAAAGGGAAACGATAAGTGAAACAATCTCTGAGAAAAATAGCAATATAATTAGCTTCCAGGATAAACGACTGGAAAACTGGAAAGAACACTTTAAGGAGCAGTTTATTTGGCTTAAAGTCACGCTCAACTTGCTGAACATCCAACAACCCCCAGAACATGGAGTATAGACACAGGTCCTCCATCCCTAACTGAGGTTACTAAAGCTGTGGTGAGAGCTGTCTACTAGCCGAATTGGTAGACAGTAATTTACGTCACTATTTACGTTCTCAAGATTTGTCGTGAGAAAATATGAACAAAGACTGATTCAAAACCGACCACAGCAGACTTTGCGTAGGCGGATACAGTTAACATATAGATGATCTGACATTCAAGAAACAGTCACAAAGAGATGAAAGATTAACTTTAAGTGAGAAACAACCAATCGGAAGACTGTGTTCGTTTGCTTAAATAATCTATAATAATGTACATGAAATTATATAAATATGCTTTGATTTCCCTAACAAACGATCTGTTGTTACAAAGCTATCACTAGTCTGGAACGAGGCAAAGCAGCAGGACTTGATGGAATGAACCTAGAGGTGCTTAAGGATGGCGGATACAGCTTACTGTCTGCGTTAACTAAGGTACTGGGCGGCGTCCGGGAATCAGAGGAAGTCCTGTCGGGTTGGTGTATGTCACTGATTATCTCAATATACAATATCTCATTCTATTAATCCATATTGTTTTTCGAGTGTCTTTGACCGATATTTCATTCGATAACTGTGTTAAGCCTGATGAGAATTCTTGTCGAAAATATGGATTTGGTTGCTTAAATCATGTTCTATAGTAACTTTCGTTTTCGTATCTTCTGTTTTTGTTTTATAGTTCCAAGCACATCAATGTCAAATTCATTGTCTATTTGATCCTCCTAAGCATAGGAATTTCACTAGCAATGGCGATTGTTGTGATGGTCCTGAGTTTAATCAAATTAAAATGGATCATGAAAGTGAACGTCATCGTAATGATCATCATGATGACAATATCATAGACGGGGAGGATACAGCACCAGAAGTTGATGATGATGATGTCGGTGAAATCTCAGGTCTTCTTGGGACAACAACAGATTTAGAGAATAAGAAATTAGACGTATCTAGTAACAGTAATAATAATAACAATAATAATCATAATACACCCAGTCATTCAACCACAATGGTGACCAGAAAAAGAGGAGGAAAAAAGATGCTGGATCATTCTAATCCACTTTTTATGTCTTCAAAAGTTGAACTTGGTCGACATCGTAATGGTACACTGGATCCAAATTCATTTATGCTAACAGATTATATTCTTGGTAAAACATATCGATTTCGACCGATTGTGCCAAACGCTGCTGCTACTTCTTCTGGTTCCATCCGCAGTCCTATTACTACTACCACTACTAAATCTTTGTCGAGATTAGATCCGTCTCGTTCTAGTCATACAAGTAGTAGTAGTACAGGAGGAGGAGGAACAGGAGCATTCAATTGGTTCCTTCGTAGTCCTTATCAGTTATCTACAAGAATACCATCAGAATCTCCTGGACAGTCGTCGTCAGTGTCTCTATCCCCAGAGATGAATTGCGTTGGGCGAGCTCGTGGTCTATCAGCGCCAGGCTTATTATTTATTCATTCTCATCCTGGAGGAGGAAATACGCAGACAACAACTTCTTCGTCAAGTAAACGATCAACAACATCAGTGACAGGTAATGAATACGTTCATATATGGTTAAAATCCATCCAGTCGGTGATAGAACAAATTTATACAGCTTATTTATTACGTCATCATCATCAACAACAAAGAGGACAAGAAAAACGGTAATGTGATACCCCTGTACTTGCATTTCTTCTGTGCTTATTTATTGATTGTTTGATTGATTGGATCGGTGGTTTGGTGTTTGATTTTTTCATTCGTTCGTTTTACTTGGCTCTTACGGGCCTTTTTCTCTGATTTTTGGACAATATATGTCATTCATTGTTTCATCACTAGTTCCGGTGTTCTACTTTGTGAGTGTGTGTTTGTATTGTACATACACATACACGCCCGCGTATGTTCTAGTCGTTCTCAATGAATGTTTGTCAGTATGTGTGTATGTGTCAGTGACTGAATGATCCGCGTCTTTTGGTTTCCGTCGCCATCTCCACCCTTCCTCCACTGGCGCTTCGTTTGTTTGTCTAAGTTGCTTGACTTTCATTTTGATCATGTATTTCTCGGATTCATCTTCTCTGCTTCGCTGCCAAGTTTGCTTTTTGTATGCATGATTCCGTGTGCATTTCTTCTTTTCTTCCTATAGTTGACTTCTGGTGTACTCATCTACCTACCGACTTACCTACCAATCATATTTGGAGACGATGTTACAGATCCATACATATTTGCATTTGTTTAGCAATATACGATTATTATTAATAGTAGTAGTATTATTTTCCCATATTAACCTCCAGGTATATATACGTGTATTCATCCGTATATATACATCTACATTTATTTATTCAATCGTTACTAAGCATTGTCAATAAAAACCTTATTTCCACTATTTGTCTCTCTTTCCTTCCTTCTATTTAAGATTTAAAAACTTGACTCAGTTATTTAACATTTCGAAACTGAACAAACACGAAATTTCTGTTCACCAATTAATTCCTATCTCGTTCCACTTGCATTCTTCTTGAAAACAAAAAGTCATTCAACAACCTATTAACTTCCTCGCCTGCATAGCATGACTGAAAATAAATGAATAAATCATACATTCAGTATCTCCTCGAAGATATCACTTCGAACCCACAAACTGTAGAAATCCAAATCCAACTTACAACAGAAAAATCGCCTTCAAATCATTATTGCTAACCAAAAACATTTCCCTTGCTCTATGTAAAGACTATCACGAATATACGGAACCTTATTAGACAAAAATTTCTAATGAATATCTCCTTTCAACACACTACTGTGCACGGAAGTGCAGTAGCACTTCAACTTGCCACAACTCATGTACCGTGTCACACAAAGGGAGACAAAAGAGAAGAAAAAAGGGGTTGACAAGCACGATAATAGGCATAAATTTGAGGGAGAAAGGATAGTGACCTGGAGAAACAATAGGGTTTTAATGGACATGGCTGCTCACAAAGTGTGAATTCATCTGAGTTATGAATGAGAAGGAGGAATTTGAGGCATATGACCACCCATCAGTCGTCATTGGATCTTCGAATCTCGAGGACTGCAACCAGTCAGGCAGTCTACACATCCCTACGTGGCTGGCTGACTGTCTGAAACCAACTGTCGGATATTTGATTGACTGATACCGGCCAAGTTTTGGTCTGACCATCATCACTAGTGCTTTTCCAAGCTGATCGTATCTATGTCAGCTAACATTGCTTGTCGAGGAAGGCGATAGCTAGGCATGCATAGCACATGCCCTAGGCATCATCTCAATATTATTCAGTCTATTATACCAGCTGAAATGGGAGATAGAATGCAGACACACGTATGATGAAAGACAGCTAGCCAGCTTTTTCATGTCTTCCACATTCAATGGCCGTGTGTTACTCACTGCCATAAAGGAGGACAGAGCGAACTGCTGCTCGTCTGCAGTACACAACTCTAGTCCATAGCCAAATACCACACATCTACGCCAGCCAGATATGACATAAATTGGCAAATGTCACACGAGCCAGTCATTCGTATCCGTGCTGAGATTTCGTCAGCAATCAGTCAATTGATTAGAACGGATGGCACTTCCTGAATCAGTGAAGTGGTGGTCAACACACTCTACCACTTCACTCCCTGTCTTCAAGCTAACCAGAAGTCAGTGTAGTCCAGTCTTGTAGCATCGTCTTGCGTATTTGACAAAAAGAGGTAATCACATGTCAAACATACTGAGATTTCCGCTCAATGCGTTCAGAAGACTCTGCTGCATTTTGTCAGTCTTCACTACTCCTGCTCCTGGGAGAGGACAATATTGTCATTTGCATATCCGACGTGTCAACAAGACTATTCTCTGGTGGTAACAAGTCCAGCCCCTACATAAGTGGCTAAAGTCAGTGAGGGGTCAATCCCCCTCTTAGTATATCTCTGATGAAATTAACCAGAGATGGGGACAGTCGTCATCCCTGACTGATATTACTGGTTATCATGACTTCAGGTGACAACTCTCCACTAACTGTTACCTGGATGCCAGTAAGTATGCCTATGTTCCCGAATCTCTAGAAGGGTGGACATATGATCAATACACCCTCCTCCTGGTCTAAAGGTTGACTGCTTTTCTCGCGTTTGTTTCTCCCGAGCGTCACTTAGTCTACTCATGATTATCGAGCTGGGAACTTTGGATACCATATGAGTCAAGCTAATCCCCTTATGATTATCACAGGAAGACTTGTTTCCCTTGCTGTATACTAAGATAATCAATGACTTACACCAGTCGAACGGGACTATCTCTAATTCCTAGACATTGCCCAATGCCTTAGTTAATCCAGACAGCAATTTGCCATCATCGTCCTCAAACACCTCTGGAGTCATTCCATCAGGTGGTGCTGTCCTGACTCGTTCCAGATTAGAAACAGCCTTTGTAAGCTTAGTTACAGATGGAGGATGGGTGTCTGCATCGCATTCAGGTAGGTGTTGAATGGTGGTCAAGTGGAACGTGGCTGTAGGCCAGTTAAATAGCACCTCAAAATCTCCCTTCTAACATTCTAGTCGTCTATCCTGACAGTCGATTCGGGCGTCAATCCCTACGTCAGTCGCTGAAGTTATCAGTTAGGGTGAACTCCTTCCTCTTCAGTACATCTTCGATGAAATTAAATAACGAAGTGTTAAAGGGTGATAATGCTGTCCAATTGTCCAGACTGAAGTAAGCGGGTCGGTGGCACTCGATTGATGGGAATCAACTACTGGCTGTATCAGACGCCTAGCTTGAAACTCCACATATCCAATTTCGAATGACTGACTGACTGCCTGGTTTCAACATAGAACTGTGCACGGAAGTGCAGTAGCACTTCAACTTGCCACAACTCATGTACCGTGCCACACAAAGGGAGACAAAAGAGAAGAAAAAAGGGGTTGACAAGCACGATAATAGGCATAAATTTGAGGGAGAAAGGATAGTGACATGGAGAAACAATAGGGTTTTAATGGACATGGCTGCTCACAAAGTGTGAATTCATCTGAGTTATGAATGAGAAGGAGGAATTTGAGGCATATTACCACCCACCAATTGTCTCCAGCCTTCATTTTTTTTAAAATATCTTTGACTGAATCAGAATATATTAGTAAATTTTTTTGTTTCTTAGTTTTGCTTTTCGTTTTAACTTTATATTTTGACTGATGTTTTCTTCACTTTTCATTGAAATTTGCTGATTTACGGAAGCTTATATGTCCCGTGGTTTTTCATTGTTACCTTCTGAATAACTACCACAGCTTCTTCAGCAAATCTGCTGAAGAAGCTGTGGCTTACACAGCGAAACGTTCAGAAAAATCTTGTTTTGATTTTCTTAACACGCTGGGATTAATTTAAATAATTAATAATGAATCAATCTGACTCGGCGCTCAAATTATTTCAGGAAGTTCGTAACACCTACGGCCTGGAAACCTATAATCTTATATATTGTTTTTCATATATATATATATATATATATATATATATATATATATATATATGAATTTTTGCATGTCTTTTCAGAATTTTTCCTGTATATATTTTTACTCTTTTTCTATCTCTGCAACTACCATATATTGATTTTTGCCAAGTCTCATATCTTTGGTATAGTCTTTGCTGCATTTCGACTACATGTGTGCGGTTTTCATTCACTAAAGAAATTTTCATTGATTAACCTTTCTCTTCACCCCACTATTGAACTTTTTATACTCTCATCCTATCCTATTCATCCTATTTAATGATTACATGACTGTGAACACAAAGCGATAGTTGAGCTTTTTTCTATGTTATTTAGCTTCGCAGGGTCAGTCATTTTAGGTATCGCTAAAATTTTATGTTCAATAATCTTATTGACCCTAATCCACCAGTTTAACCTATGTAAGCACTTTAGTCAAGTATTCTCTGATAATATTGATACCAGCTTTGTAACTTTTCCAGAAGGTAACTTGAAAATGGCACCCTTATACATTGGAAAGGATACTGTCCTAAAGTGGCTTCTAAGGCTCAATCCTGGTAAGTCCAGTGGCCCTGATGAACTCCACTCACGTATATTAACAGCATTGGCTGAAAACATAGCCGAGCCATTGTCGGTAATCTTCAATATGTCTCTGGACCAGTCTAAATGTCCAAGAGACTGGAAAGATGCCATCATTAGTCCGGTCTTCAAAACCGGATCTAGAAACTTAGTTCAGAACTATCGTCCTGTTAGTTTGACCAGTATTGTTGTTAAACTAGTAGAAAGAATAATTCGTGATGCTATCATTCAGTTCATTGAAGGGAACAAACTTTTCGCTGTGGAACAGCATGGTTTTAGAGCAGGTCATTCTTGCTTGACCAACCTTCTTTTGGCCAGAGGAAGTTGGGCAAGCTCAGCTGATGCTAATATACCGGTGGATGTCATATTCATCGAACTTAGCAAGGCGTTTGGCAGGGTTTCTCATTCAGGTCTTCTAGTAAAGTTAGGTAGTCTGGGAATCAATAAAGTGGTTACCGACTGGATTGAAGACTTTCTAAAGGACAGAAGACAAAGAGTACGAGTTAACGGGGTTTTATCAACATGGGAATCGGTTAAGAGTGGCGTTCCTCAGGGTACAATTCTAGGTCCACTTCTTTTCCTGATTTATGTTAATGAGATTCCATCGGTAGTTAAGTCATCCTGCTTATTGTTTGCTGATGACATCAAGATATGGAGGGCTTTACACGATGACAGTGATCAACTTGCTTTGCAGGAAGATTTAAACTTGTTAAGTGATTGGTGTAAGCACTGGGCCTTGGAGATTAACTTAAGCAAGAGTGTAGTTATGCATGTATCTCATAGTCACGTGCACAATTACTCAATGAATGGCATTGCTCTCCCAGTGGTCACTGAGTACAAGGACTTGGGAGTGGTTGTGCAGCATGACTTGCAAACAGCAACAAACTGTAGAGCTGCAGCCACTGAGGATTTTCGAATATTATGGGCCATACGCAAGGCTTTTGCGAATTTTGACGCTGAAATATTTCGTATATTATATCCGACTTATGTCAGACCTCATTTGGAATATGGGATCCAGGCAGCGAGCCCGTGTTTCAAATACGAAATAGACTTATTAGAAAGGGTGCAAAGAGTAGGAACTAAGCTAATAAAGGGTTTCTCAACCCTCTCATATGAGGAGAGGTTAAGTCGACTGGGTTTATTTCCACTGTCATACAGACGACTTAGGGGTGACCTAATACTAGCATACCGTATCCTAAGAAATGATTTTGGAGCAAATTTATCTAATTTATTTCTTCCTTCTAGCACCAACCAATTGCGAGGACATCACCTCAAGGT